TTGCCTCCAGAAGTTGTGAATGCCCCAACACTGGAAGTCTTTAAGAAGATGTTAGATAGCCATCTGTCTGAAATTTTCCTGCCTAGGCAGGCGGTTGGACTAGAAGACCTCCAAGGTCCCTTCCAACTCTGCTATTGCATTGTATTGTAAACTGCAGAAACTAGTCCAGGCAGCCACCTGGACTCAACACTCACACAAAGAGGGGGGGGGGGGCATGAATCATAGTTTATGAAACATAATAGTTGCCAAGTTCAACACAACTAGAAAATAAAAATAAAAAACATTGCACGAACTTGTTACAGTTCTGCAGAAGTGATTATGACAGCATGTGAGGGACTAATGAAGATAGATCTATTAAAATTCATAAGGTAATATGACTAGAATCATACTAAACTATAATGTACATAAGATATAAATCTGATCAGAGTAAATTAAAGGAGTGAATAATGAATTAGATTTTATTTAGGTTTTCCCCTTTTCACCATTTTGTTATGTATATTTTTACTATTACCTTTTATTTTGAATTTTGATATTTTCTCACAGCCAATAAAATAATAATCCCCCAGCAAGGCACTACCTTGATGTGGTTGTGGGGCTACAAGGAAAATAATAACGGCTTCAGAAGTTCAATCATAATGGACAGGTCTCACCAGAGAAGTCAGATTAAGAGTGTCTCTGCAATAAATAATATGATGAGACATAATTTACAGAAATTATATACTGGATCAATCACCATCAAGTCAACAAGCACAAATTGCAATACTCTTTTCAGAGGCCGAGTAGCTTTTCCTTTCCCTCCAAATCCTGGTTCTTCTTGTAGCAGGCAGCAACAGAAGCCATCTCTCTGGGAGTAAGGCATGCTGGTCGAACTCTGGAACATAATAAGGTTTCAGAAGGGTGCAATTTTTGGCAGAAAGTTGGCTGGGCAAAGCTGGGCAAACTGACAAAAGGTTTGCAATCTTCTGCCATAGATGGAATACTTTTGACCATCAACAATTAGTAACAAAGAAAATATCAAGGGTTTACTGAATGGAAAATGTTAGACACTGCAAATCTGAATACACAGAAATGGCATATCAGTCTTTCCATGCTGTGCCCTCCCAAGCTTGTTGGTCTCTATTGAATCAGGAAAACTGAGCAAAATGTTATATTAAGTGCTACAAGTTAAGTCCACCTCTGAAATTATGCATTAGCTCTTTGCTTACTCCAGCTTTGTTCCCAACTAATTCTGCAATTAGTCCAGAATGCAGCCGCGTGAGCGATACTGGGTGTGCCAAGGTACTCCCACATCACACCTATCCTC